TTACTCTTATTCCTAGACTTAAGAATAAGAGTGATTCATAAAGGTTCCTAAGTGTTAAGACTAGGTCTCAGCTCCTAAATTATTTAAGAGAGCTGGAGAGGTCTCCTAACCTAGTTAGGAGTAACAAGATGGCAGCAAAAAGGAGGAGACAAACACTTTACAGCGAAAATATATTGGACTTATATGATAATATGGAGTTGATAAAACAATACAAACTTAATTGTAATCGGTGATGACACAGTAAGCAGGTTCTTACATATTGTGGCACTAAACCAAGCAAACACAACAGTGGCCAAAAGTGATGTTTTGATTTTTTTTTATGATCCCACATTTCACTTAAACCGTTAAAATACAAAGGACAAAAAAAACACTGACCAGTGTCGCCAACTGCTTTCAATTGAAAGAAAAAACTGGTCACTTAATGTTGCTAGATGACCTCATAAAGGTGAGTTCACTGATCTATATATGGCAAAAACAACTTTTGTGAGGATTGTGGGCTTTCCTGGAGTTGTTGGACCTACTGATGGAACTCATGTTCACATCATTGCTCTAACTGTAAATGAGGTCAAAGCTTAAGACTATTCTTAAGAGCATTTCTGAGAAGTTTTATACATACGGGCCCAGGGCCCGTATTCACAAAATGTCTTAGGGCTAAAAGTAGCTCATAACTCACCGATTTAAGAGAAAATCTTAAAAATAATGGGCGTGTCAATCCTAAATTTAGGCCTCCTAAATTTTTGCTCTAAGAGTATTTCACAAAGCGTTTTAGCTCTAAAACTAGCTCCTAAATCTGTGAAACGTTAGGAGTAATGAAGAGGACTCCTAAGTCACTAAGACCAAATCACAAACTATCCTAAAATGACTGTTGCCGGCAATCTGCATGGGAATGTAAATATTTTAGAAACATTTGATGATAATGACCTTTTAAAAAGGTATCGCCTTTGGTTTTGGAGGTTATCCCAACTCCAAATTTTCCTTTGATTATATGCTTGTTTTCATTAACCTATTGGGCAAGAAGTAACAGCTGTTCTTGCGTCCAGTTTGGTTTTCTTTTTTGTTTGCATGTCTTACTATCAGCCATGATTATTCTACTCTGTTAATTAAAAGGCTGTGTATATGCATATTCACTAATTATGAGAAGCATACGTGTAAGAGGCTGACAATAAGCTGAACATATACTTGTATAAGTAGTGACACTTATCCAGCATTTTAAAATCTTTATTTGAATGTGGCAATTAACAGTTTTTTATTTTTAAACCTTTATTCGAATATGGCAACATAATATTGCGCTCTACAATATTTCTATGAATAAATCTCTGACAGAGACTATCAGCCAATCACTGTGTGCATAGTTAGTAAGCATGCTGACATCATCCATAGCAACGAGGTCAACCCCGCCCCCTTACTCTTAGCTTAAGACTTCTGTCTATTCCTTCTGTCTAAAGTTTGTCTCAGCAGCTTTGTGAATAGGTTTTAAGAGAAAACTCTTAGCTAAAAACTTTTACTGCTATTTAGGAGAACTCTTAGTTGTAAGATCAAATGTTTTGCGAATACGGGCCCTGTTTTATAACTTGATTGGCTAATTGATAAAGAAAATAATTTGGCTAAATAATAAAGAAAAGCAATTTGTATTTGTAAATACTTTATAAAAATACTATTTAAAGTTTGCATGCAAAAATTCTTTTATTATTTATTGTATAATTAAATTACATTTTTAAACATTTTATTATTTTATTTGAATACATTGATAGTTGAGTTCTTCATTTTATTACATTTTATGCCACAGCCCTCCATAATTACTTTGCACTGTCATGTAAAATCTCGCATGGCAGTTATTTCATTTTGCCTGATTTTTATTCATAGGACAGAGAACATTGCCGCAAGCTGTTCCGAAAGGCTTCTGAGAAGCATCAGAACCTCTACCGTCTGGCCATGACTGGATCTGGCATTGACAGGCACCTCTTTTGCCTATATGTGGTCTCAAAATACCTGGGGGTAGAGTCTCCTTTCCTTAAAGAGGTTAGTGTTTGTCTGTATTGGGGAGACTGGTTCATTTTGTGCAGTCATGGATGTGATCATCTTGATAAACCACCCCAAAAAATGTCTTAACATGCTTTTCTTCAAAGATCTTATCTTTGACCTCTCAAAAACCACCAATGAGTCTTCAAACAATCCTAAGATGTCTTTTAATAACTTCAAAGAATAAAATGAATCACTCTCTAACTAAACTAGTGCATAAACATTAATTTGGTAGCTGATTGTTTGTTTAAAATGTTAATGTGTGATGTAAAGGGCATTTATGGCTAAATGGATGCGTGTGCATGAAGTTGTTGGTTCATTTGTGTGTGTGGCTGTATGGGACTTGCAGGTGTTGTCAGAGCCCTGGCGCCTCTCCACCTCTCAGACCCCTGTGCAACAGATGGAGCTGTTTGATTTGGTCAACCATCCTGAGTTCATCTCGCTGGGAGGAGGCTTTGGTCCGGTGAGTAACTGATCAACACACACATAAACAGGTAGAAGCACTCATGCGTTCACTGTGTTCATGTTTTGTTCCTGTGTAAGGTGGCTGATGATGGCTATGGTGTATCTTACATCATTATGGGCGAGGAAATGATTAACTTCCATGTGTCCTGCAAGCACTCCTGCACAGAGACTGTAAGAGCAAAACAACCCTACATCATTACACAGTCTTAAAATCATGCTTGCCCTTTCAGATCAATTAATTACCTTTGCCTTTTTTATGAAGCTGCATCAAGATCATTTTAATACACTGACATATTGTAATGTATATAAAGCGGTTAAAATAAGTAAAGTACAAAGTACAAAAGACAAAAAAGTAATAAATCTGACGTATATGAATATTGTTCATACAGTTCCTATTTTTAAATAATATTATTAATCCAAAATGATTTATTTATAATATAAAATAAAAGAGCAAATTATCTTTTGTTTGTTTTTTTGTGTCTATATCTTTGTTTTATGCATCTTGTTTGTTCTGTGCATTTTTTTGTGTTTTTTTTTTGTAAGTTCAGTTACTGTAGAGTAGGCTTAACTTTCAAGATTTATTATTCTTATATTTAACAGGCATTTGGTGTCCTGTTTTGAAAGATAAGTGATTTTATTTCATAATGCTATGATTATGTAGCATATTAAATTAAAGTGCAATGTTAATTTTTCTTGTTTATAGGACTCTCATAAGTTTGGGTCTCAAATCAGTCAAGCCATGATGGATCTTATGACTCTGCTGAACCCAGACTTCAAGGAAGCCACAAAAGCCAACCCTGACAAACGGTCATAAATCCTGCTGCCGTGTTTGTTTGAAGATGGGTTCATATTTATGTCATTATTTGTGCATTTTATTTTATTCTTTTATGTTTGTTGGGTTTGAGTTTGTGATATAGTGGATCTATCTGTGTCAGTGCTGAAAATAACTAGTAGGGTTTCTGGTTTTGCTAATTGCTGCTGCACCAGTTTTACTGTATACCTGTCATAAATCACTGAAATTGGTGTGCTGAAGAATTGCATCTGTCTGTCTGATTGACAGCTCTTTAAACAGCAAAACGGTGTCAGGCCACTCAACTACTGTGTGTGTTTACATTTGCTGAAATCTGTAGTTGTGTCATTACAGGGTATGGTTATGAAGAAAGACTGTGTGATTGAAACTACAGCATTCGTCTGGTGGAAGTTAGCCAAAAAAAAAAAAACCGGCAGCTTTAATAATAATGTTATTTCTGGTACTTCAGATGAAAATCGTTTTTCTATAGCCTTCCTCCATGATGTAAGATGGTTTAAGAAATGGATGATTGAAAGCTTACCAAAGTTACCAAAGAAGTCTACAATACTCGGAAAAAGCTATCCTTTTGCATTCCCATTCATATCAATGTCCTTTGCTTAACTGACATAGGGTCCCCTGAAATTGCGTGGGGCCAAGCTAACCTGACAAACCTTGAAAGAGAAAAAAGTAATCTATGTAGTGATGTTATTTGTACAGGCATGAACCTATCAAATTCACCAGTTCAGGAATGACATAGCAGATAGCATGGTCCATGAATCTCTTTACAGATTTTAAATGGATCAACTTCCACAAAGACTCTGATTAACTCTGTTAAAGCCTTGGTTGAATGTGTGTCTGTTAAAGCCAAATGAATATTGATGAATCTGCTTGCTTAGACAGCTGATGTATGATACAGCACAGTTTAAGTAATGCATTAGATGTTCTTGAAAAGATATGGCTTTTGTTTTTTTTAATGCAATATAAATAAATTATGAGATTAAATGTGCCACTTCTGATACTTAATAATTTTACAGAATGAGTAACATTATTGAAATGTTCTTGTATTATATTCAATTATACTGTAATTTGTAATTATCATTTATATTTGCTTTGCTTCAGTTGGACTCTTGTATATGAACATCTCAGGAAAACATAAGTACATGCGTTTACAAGGTGTTTGGTTTCATTTCTTTGACATTTTCAATGCTTAGCCTGTGCGTAGCCACGATTAAGCTCGTAGTCAGAGCGGCTATCTGTAGCCTACTTATAGTCAAACCTGATTCACTGTAGTTTTGGGCCAGGCAGCGCATGAGATGGTTGATATCCCATCATGTTAGCAGTGTCAATAATATCTACAAATATATAAGTGTCATTTTATGACATGGTCTATATGTAGCCACGATTTCGCTCTAAATTGGACGGGCTACGTGTAGTCTGCTTTTAGCCCACCTGGCGAAATCGACGTAATCTGTGGTCTAATTTTAACGGTTTGGCTATAGCCCTATACCAGTAACCAGACCAGCGATGAGCATAGCCAAATTAGCCTTAAAATTGTTTACATGTAATTTTCGCCCACGCAGCTTCTTATTTAGCCCACCCGGCGAAATCGAGGCAATCTGTGACCAATTTTAACGGCTTGGCTATAGACCAATTTAGAGTAGACGTCACAGTTACGTCACTTGCAGCTGCGCACGCTGTTACTTTGCTTACATGATGGAATATCATACATCTCAAGTTATTTAGCCAAAAACGACATGAAACCAAATTCAGGGTTATTTGGGCTAGATGTGGGATACACATAGCCGGACTATATCGGGTCTATACTTAACCGAGACGTTGAAATGACGACTATTGCTTGCTGGGTGAAACACCCTCCGTTTTATTGGTTATAGTATGTCCTAAAGCAAACAGTGCAGAGATGAAAGAGGGTGGGGACTTTCTCCAAGTCCATAAGCGACTGCACATAAACTGGTCTCTTAACTGCAGAACCATGTTGGTTTCAAAACAGCGCTACACTTCGCACGGTAAGCCCACGCTTACATGATAACGTCGTTTACTCTGAATAAACACTGTGACATCCCACTTGGTCACTTTCTCCTGCCTGGTATCTTAGGGGGATTTTAAACTCCCTGCAGCACAAGGGGGCTCGTTGCTTGAAGCTGCAAAACGAAAGTATGTTGTAGACCAAGACGAGGCGGCTGAAAGGTAAGATGTGCGTTTGAGTGTGCTATGAGATGTATGTATGGTTTTCAAACCAAAATATCCATTGGGATTTTATTCTTATAAAATATAAAAATGAAATGTATTTTATTAGTTGTTAAATATTAATACAAAATATAAATGTATTAAATAGCCAATAGCCAGGGTAGTCTGTTATATTACTATTCCAAAATTGTTTGTCCTCTGTTGGCGGCATCGGTATTAAAGTGGCATAGCGCCGTGGGAAGTTGTTCACCGGTTTAGTGTCGTATCCGCTTGCGAGGTCCACGTGGACGTGTTTGGCAGCACAAATGCTGGATTTCTGCGTGACGCCAGATTTCAATCCTGTCCTATTTAGGCAGTAGGCATTCCTTCTACGCTTGACACTTGGTGACTTTTGTTGCATTAGCTATGTGAACACACAAAAAAATCATGGACATGATTCGGATATGTTAAAGGTAAAAAAAAAAAAAGAGTCACACTTGGCTGATACTTACAGGGATTAAAGTTCTCCGTCGCTACGACGGATTTCCGTTAATTGCAGCGAGTCTACAAAGGATTTCCGTCAATTGGAAAAAATGAGGGGAAAAGAAACAAGTAGCGCGTTGTTGTTCTGCCCTGTGGCACACCAAAAAATCATCCCTGCCACGGCTGCAGCTTCTCAGTGACAACATAGTGATGCCGCTCGCATCATTCACAGTCGGGTTATTAGCAGAGAACACAGAGCAGAACTTGAATTTCGGCGCGGGATTGCGGCTATTAATAACAATTATACTCATTCCCGCGGGTTCCGCGCTTATAACACGATAACAGATGACGGAACGTATCATTTGCACGTGCTTTTGAGCAGGGCTGGGCAGAGACCTTTGGAGGGGCAGGTGCTCAAAGTATAAAAGGGGCACATGGAGCACGGCTTTTAATCGGGCTGTGCTCCTTGCTGAGACATGTATCGAAACGGTATTCTGTATTGATAGCAGCAAATGCCGTGACGCAGTTTTGAAAAAGAAACACAGAACAGAAAAGACCATTTTAAGTTTAAAAGTTAAATAAATAGTTCTTTGCACCTCTTAATCACTCTGAAAATAGAAACGGAATTAAATTAGGCCTATTATTATTATTGAGTTTACAGGGTATGGTGGTTTTGCTGTTG